CCCAAAACTAGATTTTTGGTGCAAAATTTGGAATGAAATGAAATGCGTCCCACCGAGCCAGGCTTAACAGACTTAAGGATTCTGAATGTGACTAGACTATGTCACTGCCGTCAGTTTCACAATACACCTGCACTAATTGATAATTGATTATTGAGCCTAGGTGAAATGCCCAAAACTAGATTTTTGGTGCAAAATTTGGAATGAAATGAAATGCGTCCCACCGAGCCAGGCTTAACAGACTTAAGGATTCTGAATGTGACTAGACTATGTCACTACCGTCAGTTTCACAATACAGCTGCACTAATTGATAATTGATTATTGAGCTAAGGTGAAACTCTCATAATTGAATTTTTGGGGCAAAATTTGGCAAGAAATTATATGCGTCCCACCGAGCCAGGCTTAACAGAGCTAAGGATTCTGAAGGTAACTAGATTATGTCTCTGCCATAAATTTCACTATACGCCTGCACTAATTGATAATTAATTATTGAGTTAAGGTGAAATTCCCAAAATTGAATTTTTGGTGCAAAGTTTAGAATGAAATGGAATGCGTCCCACCGAGCCAGGCTTAACAGACCTAAGGATTCTTATTCTGCCTATATAAACTCACGGACGTCAGTTTCATAATATACCTGCAATAATTGATGATTGATTATTGAGCTAAGATGAAATTCTCAAAATTGTATTTTTGGTGCAAAATTTAAAATGCGATCAATTCCATGCCTAACATGCCACGCTTAACAGATTTAAGGATTCTGAATGTAACTAGATTATGTCTCTGCCATGAATTTTACTATGAACCTGCAATAATTGATGATTGATTATTGAGCTGAGGTGAAATACCCAAGATTGAATTTTTGGTGCAAAATTTGGATTGAAATGAAATGCGTCCCAGCAAGCCAGGCTCAACAGACTTAGGGATTCAGGATGCAATTACATTATGTCTCTGCCTTGAAATTTACCATAAACCTGCAATAGTTGATGATTCATTATTGAGCTAACGCGAAATTCCCAAAATTGAATTTTTGGTGCAAAATTTAAAATGCGATCAATTCCATGCCTAACATGCCACGCTTAACAGATTTAAGGATTCTGAATGTAACTAGATTATGTCTCTGCCATGAATTTTACTATGAACCTGCAATAATTGATGATTGATTATTGAGCTGAGGTGAAATACCCAAGATTGAATTTTTGGTGCAAAATTTGGATTGAAATGAAATGCGTCCCAGCAAGCCAGGCTCAACAGACTTAGGGATTCAGGATGCAATTACATTATGTCTCTGCCTTGAAATTTACCATAAACCTGCAATAGTTGATGATTCATTATTGAGCTAACGCGAAATTCCCAAAATTGAATTTTTGGTGCAAAATTTAAAATGCGATCAATTCCATGCCTAACATGCCACGCTTAGCAGATTTAAGGATTCTGAATGTGACTAGATTATGCCGCTACCGGCACTTTCACAATAAGCGGCATTAATTGATAAGTAATCATTGAGCTAACGTGAAATTCCCAAAATTAAATTTTTGGTGCAAAATTAAAAATTCAATTAAAATGATTGCCCAATTGAACCAATCTTAGTAGTTATTGCGTTACTTATATGTTAAAGCCCTAGTTATTAACTTTATTACTAAAATTTGAAAAATCCTAATAGTTGATTATAGTTGTATGATGTTAAAAAAAATTCATTCCTTAAATAGGTTCAAGATTTCTAAATCAAGTCGAAATAGTCGCCCAATTATGTAAGCTCAAGATATTTCAAATTTGTATTTTAGTTTAAATCCATTTTTTCAAAATTATCAAATTAAACATTGTTAATAAATTTTATTTAATTCAAAAGACTTCGTTAAATTGAAAATTTAAATACTCACTAATTATGAGAATTCAAATTTTAATTAATGTAACGTCTGAGAATTTTATAAAACCTTGAGTTTAATAATGAATATTTCTCAATTCAAGCCCAGTCAATTTTTGTAGTAGTATCTTTTAATGATCTTTGTATATATATTATATTGAAATGTTGGACAAATAGACTCCAATTTTTTTTGCTTTTGCTTTTGCTTTTTATTTGTTCTATACTTTCCAAACTGTCATCAACTTGAAAAGCCGTCATTTCTCCATGGCTTTAAATAATTTAATTTCATTAATTTGATTGTATCATTATGAACTGTTTCTTGAGAGTAGTTGAATTTGGTGAATTTGAATATGTAGTTTATTTTTAAATCTTTAATATTGAATTCCTAGTTGCAAATTATGCATTAAATGAAGAATCATCTCTACTCATATCAATTTCTTTCAGTATATAAGTAATAGTTCTATGTGCATGCTTGGCATGGCCAGAAATTGGTTCGATTGAGTCGAAATCTTATAAATAAATTGACTTAATTATTCACGAACATATATTAAGTTTGACATGATTATTGGTTTGTATAAATTATTACAAGCCATTTAAATACCGAAACATAGCTTTGCTATTTTCATTCTTTGTTGCTGATGTCTAGTGATAAAATATTTAAATATCTAATTAAAAATCAAGTGTAGTGAATAGATGGAGTGAAATATGATGAAAAAAACAAAATTGGGAGATAGAACTTGATGAAAAGCCTACCTATCTATTCCTATCCATATTTTGGCTGTAGATGAAAAGTCTGAATTGTTCATCGATTTGTTTAAATATATGTCCATCTTTTCTTCTTACTTTGATGAAAAATTTCACGGATTTGTTGTCGTTAAAATATCACGTTTGGTAGTTCTACTTTCGACGTAAAAATTCAACAGTTTTTACTCCAGGTCGACCTAAATACATTTAGAACTTACAAAACATTTAGTAATAGTAAAAGTTAAAATGTTAAGATTATAGAGTTACACCTAATACAAATAACATTTAAAAAGTATTTTACTATAGTTTTATAAATGCCTTTAGTATTTTTTGGATCCTAAGAAAAATCATAAATTCATTTCTGGTGTTTCGCTCGTTACTGGTGAGTCTTTTTTTGCTCATTATTTATTTGTAAAAGTAGAATTCGACCTTCATGAATAAACGTGGCCGTTTTTAAAAAGAGCAGTCAATAGCCTTTAATCCTAACACAGAGACTGTAACTTAATGTGCCTTATGTTTCAATTGTAGATCAAAAGAAGAAGGTCTTTTTCTGGTTCTTGTTTGCAATAAAATAAATAACAATTTGTTATTGTGGTGACATCAATAAAACATAGATTAGATTGTTGGGATGATAATGATACCAATGATTTTTACCTTTATACTGATAATGAAATACTTTAATGAAGAAAGCTTAAATTTAAAAATAAACTATTAAATGATCAAATGAATTTTTTTTCTTAATATATTGAACGTAGGGTAGTAAGTAATATGATTTACACAATTTATATGTTTAATAGTTCAACCAGCCATTTCGAAGCATATATTCCAAGTTGAATCTCTTTTTTAAATTAATGATATTACAACAAATCTTTAAAAGGGGCTATATATTAATACATTTCAATTGAATTTTACTTAGAGATTATAAAATATCAGTATATGTATATTACTTATTATAAGTTACAATAGTATAAAAGTTCTTATATACCGGAATTTGGTTTGCATTATTTTGCATCCATTTAATTTTTTGTTTTGTTTTAGATCTCTTACTCTATTTTTCATATGAAACATAGACAAACATTTTGTTAAACGACTAATATACAATTCAGTTCTTATACGATTGGGAAAATAAAATGAATACTTAGCCTCAATTGGGATAACTGGAAATTTACAAATAACTTTTGTTTTTTAAGTTTTTAAATATTATTAGACAAATCTTATGTTTATATTCTGGGCAAATTTATAGTTTCATGAAAAAATAATATTTATAATCCTAACTAATTTTTTAAAATGAAAAATGTTGATTTGTTCAAATTTTTAAACTTTTAACAGGGCAGAAATATTATAAAAGGTTGTTATCCACCTGTAAAATTTTGTATTTTAATTCAAGTAATATACTTAACTCATTTTTACCCATTTTTAGAAATTCATTATTGATACATATTTTACAATATTATAAATCATATTTCAAATAAAAATAAATATAAGAATATTCGTCACATTTAAATAATTTTTCAAGACTTGATTATATATATATAATAACATACATATACAATTTTCTTCTAATTTCCATAAAATTTTTATTTTTATACAATTTCAAATTTTGAAAAATTTAAAAAACTTCATTGATACAAAAAAGAACTAGAAATAATCTATAACAATAAAGAAAATTTTATTCTTCAAGAAACTAATCTAATTAAAGAAATCAAGAGATCTTAGATAAGAACCTTTTTCTTCATTCAAATCTATTTTAGAACTACTGAGATAAAGAAAAAAGAGGTATGAAATTATTCAATTCAATTCTTTTAACTGGTTTAATATCAGCAATTGGTATAAATGCAACCACTACGACCACTTCAACAACTGCTAATACTTCAACTTCAACAACATCAACATCAAATAACTCATGTTCATTTTCATCAACAACAATTAGTGCACTTACTGCAGTTGAACAAGTTAATTCATGTCCAACATTAGATGGAACAATTTTAATTACAGGAAATGAAATTTCAGAAATAAATTTAAATTCAATAAATCAATTAAATGCAAATTTAACAATTTATAATTCAAGTACAATTAATACAATAAATTTAAATTCAATAGAAAATATAACAGGTTCATTAAATTTTAATAATTTAACTCAATTAAGAACTATAAATTTAAATTTAATTGAAATGGCTCAAGATTTACAATTTATTTCATTACCAAATTTTGAAAATTTAAATTTAAATTCAGATGTTTTAAAAGCTGGTAGAATTATTTTATCAAATACTGCTTTAAGTAATCTTAATGGTTTAGCATTATTTGATTCAATTGAATATATTAATATAAATAATAATAAAAATATGTCACAATTAAATTTTGAAAATTTAAAAAATGTTTCAGATTCTTTAATTTTAAGTTTTAATCATAATAATGCTCAAGTTAATTTAAATAATTTAGATTGGTGTTCAAATTTAACTATTCAAGATGTTTCAAATTTTCAAGCAAATAATTTAACTTTTATTAATGGAAGTTTACAATTTAGTTATAATTCATTTGATAGTTTAAATGTTTCAAGTTTAACAAATATTGGTTCATCATTACAAATTTTTGCAAATGATGAATTAGAAAATTTAGCATTTGGTTCATTAACAAGTATAGGAGGTGAATTAAGATTTTTTAATAATTCAGAATTATCACAATTAAATCAAACATTTACTGCTTTACAAAGAATTGATGGTGCAGTATCAATAAATGGTAATATTGATTCTTTTAATTTACCAAATTTACAAAGAATAAGAGGTGATTTTCAATTAAATTCTACATCTGAAGATTTCAATTGTGATGAATTTAATGATTATCATGAAAATGGTGATATTGAAGGTAATAATTATATATGTTCTTATCCAAGTGGTTCATTAATTGTTACTGAAGGTTCAACTAGTAGTTTTTCTGCAACTGATGGTAGTAGTGAAACTACATCAACTGATGGTAATAGATCTTCTGGTGTTGAAAAATTATTTATACCAAATTTTGCAGTTGTTTTAGTTGGAATTTGTTTAGGTTTCTTGATGTTATAATGACATGATAAATTGAAAATTGAGACTGGAAACTCTCAAACACCAGCTCTCAAAAAAGTTTTTATTCGTTTGAAATTTGAATAATTTTTAATAATCGTAGTAATAATTAGTATAAAAGTTTTTTTTAATAAATAATATTAGCATGATATGAATTTTTTAATTGATCAATCATTCATAATTAGGTAAGCACTGAAAGAGAACTCTGGAACAAAGATGGTATATAATTTCATTCATTCGTTCATCAACTCATTTCACTCAAGATTATTTCCTCTTTTTTCTATTTAACAATAAATACTCGATATATTAAAATAACTAATCCACCAATAATAAAACAATCTTTAAAACAATCCCAAATTATTCCCTTTTTTAAAATTGTATTAACTTTATAATTATTAAAAGGTAAAATAGGTTCATTATTTTTTTGAAAATTTAATTTTAATTTTAAATTTTGATAAATTATGAATATGAATGTGAATATAGATAAAATTATATATGTGATAATATTATAATAAGGAGTTTGTAAATAACAAATTTCAGTTTTATAATTTAGTTTTACATTTGATTTTGAAGTGGGATCTGAAATTTTTTCAAAACTTAATAATTGAACTGCTGGATACCAAATTCCCATTGCCATTGAAATTGACTTTATAGTTATTTCTCTTATTTGTTGTTGGGATTCATCATCTAATTTATGTAAATAATCACAATAATCATGATCATCACCAGAAAATATTAAATCAGGTTTTATAATTTTTAATATATTTGATGAAATTTCTTTAGTTAAAGAATTTTGATATTGATATCCATAACCTAATGAATCAAATTTTAATTTTTCTCTATTTGGACCACAAGAAGCAGTTGGATCTCTATATAATGGAACATGAGTTAATAAAATTCTTGGATCTAACTTTGGTTTTTGTTTAAGGTTGTTTAAAAATTTTTTACTTTCATGATTTATTAAATCTTTTGATGATGATAAACTTATTGAATCTAACATAATAAATTCAATTTCATTAATTGTAATTGCAATATTTGATTTTCCAAATGAATTTTCAAATCTTGTTTTAATTTCAGGTTTTATTAAATCTCCAAATCCAATATCATGATTTCCTGGTAAATTCGTATAAATTGATTGTGATTTAGGGAAAATTTTATAAAATCTTTCAACTTGCTGGTTAAAATATTCATCTTTTGATCCTCTTCCATTATCTAATAAATCTCCTAAAAAAATTGTATATTTAGGTTTTAAATTTAATAAATTTTGATAATTTCTTTTTAAATATTGATCAACTGTATGTTGTGAAAGTTTCAACAAGTAAGAATTTCTACCAGGATATGTATGATTATCAATTAATTGAGGATCAGCAATTAATAAAATATTGGTTTGATTTTCATTATTCGGTAGCTTGGGCCATTTACATTTCAGTATTGTTAAAAAGGGTAAAAATGATTCATTTAACCAAAATATTAAAAACCAAATACTTAAGATTATTAATATTATTTTATTTTTATTCACATTTGATAACTTTTGTAGTATTGTTGATATTGCTGATTGCTGTGATGATTTAGATTTATACATCATAAGTCATTTGAAGACGATCTTATGAAGTGATTAATTGAATTGAATTGAATTTGATGATAAGTAGTGACTAAGATCTAATAAGTAGAGATTGAAAGATAAAAAACGCAACACGTAATTATTGATTTTATTTTAATTATACACACCACTTTCCTTTTAGATTATCAATCACATTATGGAATACAACTCATTAAATACCAATCAGTCTTAGTTCTTTCTCCTAGTTCACAATAATAGTATTCAGCCTTATTTGATTCTTCACCTCAACCACTACAAAAACGTGTATTTATTATAACTGTTGTCTAAAAATCAACTGAAGCTGATAACGTGTTTTGGAAAAGATTATTTTCAAAATGTAAAAAGGATAGTCGAGTATAAGTAAAATTACTTCCGGGGATTTTGTTGGAATTTTGTTAAGTTCATCGTTAAAAAAATGGTTGCGATTGAATTATTCGTTCATGCAAATTTATATTTATTAATGTGTTGAAGGGAGTACCAGATACCCTGTATTCAGAACTTACACAAACATTTTCAATTATTTAGTGGAAAGTACATGAATTTAGGTAAAGTATGTGTGATTTTGGAATCCAGAGTATCTTTGTCTTCATCTTTACCAATAAATAAACTTTACATGAACGAAATTCTACTTTAAGTCAGCAACCCATTTTAATGAATTTTTGGTAACCTCAATACTTTCTTTATTAAATAGTGGATACAATTTTGATCGATATCATAAAGAAATGGAAACTATCAACGAATGGGCCATAATACCGAATATATTATTTAAGAACAACTGTACCAAAGGATATATTTTAGTCTACTGAAGGATTATTACTTTTAAAACATTGAACAAGTAAATAATCTACCAGAAAAAATAAAATATTTACATGAAAACAACAGTCATAGTTGAAGGGATTTGTTCAACTATCATAATGAGATAGTAATAATAGCCTACTTATTGATTTATTATCTCATTTTGTTCAGGTAACTATTTAAAACTTTTGGGTCATTACAAGTTGAATGAGATAATCTCTAATTTAAAAATAGTTAAAACATTCTTCACGTTGTGTATGATCGAATCTTTGATCATGATCTTGTAAATGATTCCGTATAGCTATAATTGGATTGTCGTTTTTATGTGGTCAAGAATTTATTGAAGTCGTTCTTCTTACTGTATGTTGTGCAAGTATATGCATTAACATTAATTGAAGATTGATCTTATAAGCTGTTTCAAACTGTCCTCTCAAAACCTTCTACATAAAACCAACCATTTTGAACTTAAACTTGGGCTTTAGTTTTCAAAAATTTTCTTTGAATTATTTGAATATTCAAAACTATTCTTAGTGAACAAAATCCCACTTTGAATGCATCTTTTTCAGACCTTTATGCTCTTTAAAAGTTTATCGATAGCCTATTTTTAGCTTTCGGCAAAGGCTTTCACTTAATGGTGAACACGACCTATGAAATTGCGTCTTTCCAAGTTGAACTTTGTAAAATCTGTTGATATAAGGCTAAAAAAATTATTCATATCTTACTTGCTTATCTTGTTTCTCATCCTTAACAATTCTTCGTAAAACTTCTCCAAAATAAGTGAACTAGGTTCTCAACCCCATATAAAACACTATTGTGTTGTTGAAGGTAGTGGTGGTGGTGGCAGACAAGCTTAATGAGTTTAGATCTATTAGTTAATTAATTTTCATTCTGTTAACAAATACACTACCGCTATTGGGTTATCGTTTACAGTATTACTAGTTCAAGTTAGTTATGTTACGATAGTGTATATGTCAAAAATCCTGTAGCACATCTTGTCCACCTTTAAACCTGTTATCTTGCTTTGTCTAGCATCACCTACCTTTCCACCATGAAAAATTTTCCACTATAATTCTGGCACCAGCTACCTGCATATATAACCAACTTACTTATCATATAATTCGACTCTTCCCCAAATTAATGTTGATTTGTTTCAACAGAATTCCAATTTTGATATTTTATGTATAATAATTTCCGTCAAATATCTTGTCGAATAGCTCCTCGAACATATCTCCACCTAACGCTTTAGTTAAAGCATCTGCAAGATTTACTTTCAGTTTCAACCCTCTCTAGTTTAAAATCCAGATCAATAATTCTTTCTTGTATTTGTCTTAATCAATATCTACTCCTTCAACCGAGCTGACGTAGTTTTCATTTTTGCAAACCTTTATGACTGGGTTGTTGTCCTCCAAAAAGTATGTTGGTCTTATTTTATAACCCAACGACTTTATAAGTTTTCTTAAGTGCAGTTTCAATTATTGCAAGATTTGTAGTACTGGACAAATTTTTTTCCAAATTTTTAGCATGATTTTGTATGACTGGATACAATATTTTTCAAGTTTATCCAGATACTATGTACTTGATATAGCAAATCAAATTTGACAAGTCAATGCTTCATTTGCCAATTAGTATTCAAAATATTTAAAGGTATTTTACCTACTAGTCAAAACGGACGAATTTTTTTAAATTTTCATATATGAATAGTACATTATAGTACATTTTTACCAGGGTTCATAGGTTATGTCTAGTAGATAACTGAAATTTAGCTTGTTGAGTCTTAGGTTACCTCATATTCTATCATTTTGTCAATTAGAGTTTACTTTGATTCGTTAATTTGAATTACAACAATAGCGTAAATCATTTGATTCGCAATTTATTAGTTTATACAAGTAGGCTATAACAAATTTTTACAAGTTAAATCATTAGCTTCACCTATCAAAGAAAGTTTTCAAACATATTCTTCTTCTTCTTGTCCTAATATATATTGAAATGGTTCTAAAATCATTAAGAAGTCATGAATTAATTGATTTGATCCAGATTTTTCACATTTTAACATTATGTTTTTGCAAATCTTAAAGACTTTTTGCTTTTCATTCAATAATCTAAATTTTTCTTGCTGAATTTCAGAAATTAAATCAAATTGTGACAATAATTCCACAAATGAGCTTTCTGATAGGTTACTACCCTCAATATTATCTTGATGATCATATAAATCCTTAATTTTTTTGACGTTTGTAATTATATCATTCCTAGAACTGTATAGAAAGACTCTTATTGAAGCAATAATTTGGGGATGAAATACATCTTTTAATGAATAATCATTAATTATGTGATGTAAAAATTTGTATTTATCTGGTAAACTATCTTCTTTAATATCATTAAGATTTTCATAACTCAAATCCAATTTTTTCAATAAAGATTTTATGAATTCTTTACTAATATTGAAATTTAATTCGTTGTTGTTGAATAGATTTATTAATTCTGGATTTAATTCAAGTATAAATTTTTTCTTTAAAAGATTTTGTGATTCTAAAATTGATTTAATTTGATTGGTATTATTTATTATGATAAATCCACAAATTCTTGGTTTATCTAACACTTGATATATAATCAAAGTTTGATAAAAATTTTTTGTAGTCATACAAGTGTTTTGTATGGGTAATATATATAAATCTTCTGATACAATTTCTTCAAAAAATTTAAAATAAGTATCTTCATAACGTTCACAAAAATCTTTGATTTTATCAAATCTGGTATTCAATCTATGGATATTTGATTGAAAAATTGTACATTCGTTCAAAATTTTCTTTATTAAATCTCTCAGATTCGTATAATTTGTTTCTAAATATTTGTTACAAATTTTGGTAAATTCAAAGTCATTTGTGCCCATACGAATAACTTCTAATGAAAGTCTTTTCAAAAGTACTTCTTCTTCTGAATTAATAAATTCATCATGATTGTGTTGAAAATTAAGTTTTAAACCACTGAAAGGGTCATAATTCAAATTGAAATTACATTCAGAATTCATACAACAAACTTGATATGAATTCGATGCATCTTTAAATGAAATCGGATGTATTAAAAATATATCATATAAAATATTAAAATAATTAATTAAGCTTTTGTTTCCAGATATCCAATTACCATCCTTCAATGACAATTGATAATCTTGGATAATATCTGTATATAGTGAAGATGATTCAGACATTATTATATTGATGATGATTAAGACATTGTTTGATGTTGGTATTCATATGAATGGTTGTTTAAAGAAAGAACAATAAAAAAGTGATATATAATTTGATAATTTAATAATAGACGCGTATTAGTTCAATTTTGTTTTTTTTTTTGATTCTTCACATTTAATAAAATTTGATTAGACTGTATTAGATGATAGATACATTTTGGTTAAACTGTATCAGATAACCGCAGACTAACTCCAACTGGCAATTCAACCAGTATGTCTTATAATCAACTACTCAACTTACCGAGTTCAAATATTCAAACGAATGAATCACGTTATGAAGAAATAATAAAGGAATTTTATAACAATAAATCGGTTTCAGATATTAAAATATCTCCATATTTATCACATCAGTCAAGTGATGTAGAAAAAAATCCTAAAGTAAATTCAAAATTAACGGAAGCATTATCAATAAATCTGGATGGTCATGAAGAAAAAGCTGTATCATCGTCACCAGTTTTAGCCAGATCTAAATCTATTACCCTGTTAGCTACACTAATACACATTCAACCGGATGATACATGTTATGAAGATATAATAAAAGAATTTTATAAGAACAAATCGGTTTCAGAAGCATTATCAATAAATCTGGATGGTCATAGAAAAAGAAAATTCAATGAATCATCATTACCTAAAATCAAAAAGATTAAATTGGGGTCATCATCAACTACATCCGATACACCTTCGATAGAAGAATTTTTAAGACCTAGAACACAGATTTGCGATGCTACAGTAGAAGAAAATTTAATTAACATAATTCAAGGGTCTTATAAAAAAATGGAGTAAATGATATAAAAGTTGAAGTTATTCCAACAAATGATACAAATGATTTTGCTAAAACCGGATATAACACATCAACTGATCATAGATTAAATACAACAACACTATCAACCCCTTTGAAAAAAAATACCACCAAGATTCATAGAAAAATAATGCCACACATAAAAAATCAAAAGCGAAATTGCCAAGATACACCAACGCGTGAAAATCTGATCAAAGTATTGAAACAACAATCAAATAATTATCAATTAGCTAAAATAAATATATCACAACAGGAGAATAGCTACGATTGTGGGGTTTTTATGATGTGTTGTATTAGGCACATAGCTGCTAATGTTCCACTTACTTATAATGGCAGTCA